CCCCGCGCCGCGCCCGTGCCCGAGCTCGCGCCCGCGCCCGCGCCCGCCGAGCCCGGGGACGCCGGCCCCGCGGCTCTGGGCGTCGCTGCGCGCCCGGGCTCGGCGCGCCCGGCCACCAATGGGAGGGGCGCGCCCGGTGCGCGCGCCCGATGCCGCGGGGTCCCGGCGCGGTCCCTGGGACTGGCGGAGGAGGCAGGCGGAAGGGACGCCGCGCCCAAGCCGCGCCTCTGGATGGCGACAGAGACGGCCGGGCGCGCCCGCTGCCTGGGCACCACGCGGGGAGGACTGGCCTGGCCAGCGCGAAGTTTTCGGACTTGGGCTGCGTAGCCCGTGGGCCCCAGGCGCCCTGACTCCTTTCCGCCGAGGCCTGCAACACCGAGGCCCAGAGTTTACTGTAAGTACAGGGTGCTTTGGGCCCTTTCCCCAGATGCGCCCTGTCACCCCTGTTCTGGGTTGTGCGCTGGTGTCCCCGAACCCGCAAAGAGCGCGGCCTCAAACCCACGCAGAGTCTTCTCCCTAGGTGGAGCCCAGCCAGGCAGGGACACATGTCCCTGAGAGCATCCTCCTTGTCCTCCGTGGGGCACCTCCAGGTCTGTGCACCACCCTGGGCCTTGGTAAGCTGTCTCCCTGCCCATCACCTGACAAGGACCCAGTCTTGTGTCTCCAAACTCCGGGTCCAGGGGCTGGTCTCCTCAGGGTGGACTTTGAGCAAGATAACAATGAGTATAATTCATTTTATTTGCATAGTTAATTATCATCAGCAAAACCGATTCATTCCTATCAACAAGAGGAGAGTGGATCAAGTATGTCCTTTGAGGTCAGATTCCCCAACCCTACTCCTCCCTCTCATGTCCCCCCAGCAAGACAAGCTCCCAAGACCAGATGCTCAGCAGATGGCCCTGCTACCCAGAGAGACTCTGGGCCCTGCAGTCTGCAGCTGCACCGCCCACCCCAAACACTGCCTTCTTGCGGGTCAGTGCACGTTCCAATATGAGCTCATCTTTCCTGATTCAGAGGATCTTCTGATCCTGCACAAGGAGGGGGAACTCCCAAGACCCCATGAGGTCTTGTTAGAACCGGAGAACCCTTTCCCAGGAGCCACTAGAGGGCCTGAAGCAGAAATGGTCACCAGCATCCCCCCTTCACCTCGGGTCCTGGCCAACTGGGCCGATAAGGAGGCCATGGCGTCTGTGATCACAGCTGCTCAGAACCTGCTATGGGCGCGAGGGACCTGCACAGGCACACACACACACGCACCATGCACCGTGCACAAAACACACACTCACCATGCACACACAAGAAACACACACACACACCGTATACACACATGCACCACACAACCATATACATGCATGCACATCACACACATGCATACACATACACACATGCATGTGCGGTACCTACGTGCCACACACACACACACACACACACACACACTTTCATTCACACGCACACGTGCGCACACACACCCGGTGCAGAGGAAACCAAAGCAGGCAGGAATGGTGCCCAGGCCAGGCCACCTCACCCAGTCCCGTGGGTGGCTCAGTGAGGAGCCCTCGCCAGAGGCTGTAATGTGATTGTGTGCAGCAGGATTTTTTTCGTAAATTTTCTATTTCCGATTAAAACGGTCTGACTTCCTTCTCCGTATCTTCCCAGTGCAGCGTCCGGGTTCCCTTTGCTGGCATGCAGCTGCTGCAGACCCGGCGCTCCTGAAAGCCTGAGGGAGGACAGGCAGGAGCCCTGGTCCCAAGGGTGCTGGGCTGAGGTCCGCCCGCCGGGCCAGGGAGGGGCTCCCTCTCGCTCATGGTCCCTGCAGCCCCCCAGGGATGCCTGCCTCTCTAGCTCTAAGTTCCCCCCTTTGACGGAAGCCTCTTATCCTGTTAAAAGGGATGTGACTTTTTAAAACGTGATGCGTTCCCTTTCATCCCGTCCATCCTGATCTCTTCTCGTGTTGTGGGCCTTCCTTCATCCAGCGTCTATGCCTTGAGCACCTTCTAGATGCTGTCTGTCGCTGGAGGAGGGGAGTTCAACAGGACACACGGTTTCTGTCCCCCGGAAATGTGTGCTTGGTTTGGGAAACAGATGAGGAAACCAGCACTTACAGCGTGGAGCGGTGGGTGCCATGATGGGGGCCGAAGGCCGGGCAGCAGGTGTGGGGCGCGGGGAGGGTGGGCCAGGGAAACTTCCCGTAGTGGGTTTACAGGTTTCCCGTGCTGTCCTTAGGACAAACATGCACACACATGCACACATGTGACATGACAGTTTCACAAAACAATACCTACACTCTCCATACTCGTGGTATTTTCCGTTCCATCCTAATTCATTTCCTAAAACACTGACCGCCCACCGATGGTTGTGTTTACTGTAATTTTCTCTGCTTGGCAAGCACTGCTCCGGGAGAGATGTGGTCTGCGTTGAATTTGGGAGGATACATTGGAGATGTCACACCAAAGGTCGGAGGGCAACAGTGATGGTGGGCCGTGGGGAGCGCCCCAAGCAGAGGGAGGACGCGGTGAGCGGCGTGGCCTGCTTTCTCTCGGAGCTCACACCACGAGATTTCTGCGGCTGTGACATTAGCATTTGACGTGTTAAAGGAAAAGGTATTCAGAGACACTCGTGGGGCGGGCCGGGTGCAGGGCCGTCCAGATGGACAGAAGGGCCCTTGTGACAAGATTGTGCCATGGGGGAGAGGCTGCGGGGTGAGAGAGTTCTGGCCACACCGGCCTGACAGGATCATGGCTGAAGGCCGACCGGGTCACCAGACATCTCCAGGGGACGGTGGAGGATGGCGAGGCTGGGCGGCTGGTGGGGGGGGGGGGGACAGGGGGGGGGGAAGCCTTGGTTGAACTGACTTAGCGGGGTTCTTGCTAAAACCGGATCGCACAAGGAGGTGCCCAGGGGGGCCTCAGAGAAGGGTCGGGAGCCTGACCAGAGTTTGGTCAAGCAAAGAATGTTTGTCAGACAGGAGCACTTCATGAATCTGGAGCATATTGACTAAGTCCGTGCTGGGTCCGGACAACCCTACCAGGAAGAAGAAAGAGAACAGAGCAGAGCCCGTGGTGCCTGTGGCTTGGAGTCCACGGATGGTGGCGAGTCTGGAACCCAGTGAGGCTGGACAGGGCTGAGGCCGTGGGGTGAGAGAGCAGACTGATGCGTGCAGTGTCCCGAGAAGGGAGGACGGGTCGCTAGAAGGCACAGCTGGGATGCCGGCCGGAGGCAAGGGCAGGTGCTGGTGTCTCCCGGGGACTGGGGAGAGACCTCGATGGGAATTGAGGATGGGGGATGAGCAGAACGCTGAGTTCTGTTGCTAGGAGACAGGAAGCGCAGCTCCGGATCCCAAAGCGTGCTGCCAAGTGACAGTTTGCTGTTGTCGATTGGCTGGTTGCAGAGACTGGCCAGAACCAACAGTTCAACTCTAAAATCGAGTAAGTTAGTGGAGACTCAGTCCCCACCCTCACGCCATGCCTAGCTAACCGGAGATGCTGTCCTGCAGCCTTGGGCAGGTCCTGGGTCCCCCTGTGCCCCATGCCGCGTCCTGGCCCACATAGGGGGTGTCATGCATCCCAGATGGCTCGGGGCCACGGGAGCCCCAGACACGCAGAGTGGCCCATGGTAGAGGAGTGGCGCGTGAGGGTGGTCGGCCGTGGCACTCACTCCAGGTCTGGGCAGGGTACGTCAGCGTCCCCTCCACGACGTGTGTGCAGTTGTCCCTGCTCTGCTTTGAAACACAGGGATGCTGCTGTGGTTTCCTGTTCTCCGGCCCCCGTGCTGGGCGTGGGACATTTGTCATTGACGTCAGGGGCTGCTGGGCTGACCGAGAGATTCCCAGCTGGACGTTTAACTGGGTGAGATTTGGGGGTGTCCGCTGGGGCAGTGGGGAGGGCAGTGTACTTTGTGGAAAAGCAGGCACGGTTTTGTGAAGGAGATACAGGAGTCTGTGTATGGCAGGCCGCTAACGGGGTAGACTGTCCTGGGTCTGTCGGTTCCTCTAGGAAGAGCTGCAGGTTCTCCTTCGCGAGCCCACAGCCGGCCACAATGTGTCCCGTGTGCAGTTTGCAGAGCCGCCCCTGCGCACCGAGGGATGCAGGCGCGGGGAGCGGGGGAGGCAGGACAGCCGTCCTCAGCAGGTGTAGAAGTCCAGGTGAGACAGGTGCTGGTCAGGGGGGGCCAGGTGGGGACGGCGACATCAGTGAGGGCCTTCGGGCTGATGGAGGAGTTGCAGCCCCTCAGGCAGGAGGCGTGACCGGGCCGAAGGTCCGCGGGTGCAGGCGGCCGACCGCAAGTCCCGTGAGCACAGAGGGGCCTGGGATTTCAGCCCCAGACACAGTCTTTCACAGAGTCGGTAGATGGAATCAGCGCATTATTTTTAGGAGCAATTACCCATTTCACCCACCCAGTGTCAATGATGAGAAGTAGTATTTTTCTGTTCTGTAGTATGTTCCACGCACCATTCCAAGTCCTTTGCCTA